GGCGACAGCACCCCCGCCACGGGGGGCAGCTCCCCCATCGCTCACCCCGTCTTTTGCTGGGGTGCAGCACCGATGGCACCAACCAAGCCTGAAGTTTCCCCAGGCATGGCATTTCCCCCAAGGACACTCACCCTTAACTAAAAACCCAGCCCCCCCTTTCCAGTGCCCTGTCTGAGAGGGGTGGGCAGGTACCACCGGGGCAACCCCGCTCCCCGGCCGCACCCCTCGCTCGTGGGTTTTTCCACACACACGCATGTATTTGTGCACACAGGAGGCTGCAAAGCTCATGATCCTGCACACAAGATCGTTTCTTTTGCCTTTGCAAAAACACCACGTCGCCTCTCGGCCGGTGCGAAAGAGCCATTTGTGTTGGAAACGGCTTTCGGTGAGTCCCTTGCCAAGTCAGCGGGATGCCGGCCGGTTTTCCCTGGTGCTGCCGGGGTCTCCGCAGGGTGGGAGTAAAGAAGAGAGCGGGGATGGGGTCACCTGCAACAGAGCTGTACCTATAAACACGGGGGGATGCAGAGACCGTCTGCCGCAGCATGCTGCTGGGAGGGGTAGGGAGCGAGAGGACCCCCCCGGCACAAGCCCCTTGGTGGCCCGGTTCGTGACCCCTCCGCGGCACTGTGGGGCAAGTGGTGCTCCTCGGTGGCTGAGAAAAATCAAGTAATTTTCTGAGGGGAGGGGAAACACCCGCACCCCAGTGATTGGAAATACATCTGTGATCGCTTGGAAAGTTATTTTTGCTACATGAAAGGCTGGGACACGAGGACAGGGCCTTCTCCAGACTGTATCACCTCTTGGCTCCCCTGCTCGTACAGCTCATTTATTTGGTTTGGCACCGACCAGCCGAGCCGCGTAGCTGCCAGGTTCACCGTGTTATAGGGAGCTGCTGATGTCAGGAAGAGCTTTTGGCCGCAGGAAAGCCCTGCAGATGTTGTCCAGGTGGTTCTGCTCTCCACGAGTGTTTAGGACTTGTCAAGCCGTGTAACAATTTTACGATGATTATTTTTCTTTCAAAACAGGACTGGGATTCCTATCAGGCGCTGGTGCAGGAGCAAAGGGTGGCGAAGGCTGAGCGAGGTGTGCGGCGTGTGCTGGCACCGCGGCCCGGAGAGGTGCCGGAGGAGCAGGATCTGGTGAAGCATGGAGGGGACCGGCGCTACCGACCGGCTTGGAAAGAGCTGGCCGTCTCCTCTGTGCAGCGTTTTGCACCACGCTGCTTGTCAGGCCAAGCGGAGGGAGAGGTGTCACCTGCCCACATTCAAATTCTTGCTGTTCCCGCATTTCAGAATTTTGACTCACCATCCGGCTGAGGCAAAGAGAGACTCGTGTCGCCTCGCTGGAGCAAGCTCATGATAAAGATGCCTGGGTGAGGGAGCTGAGCCTGGCTCCTCCCGGCTCTACGCGCTCCCAACCAGGGCAGTGAATCACCATTTGCAGGTGCCTCTTCCTCAAAGGCATCTCCCAGCCCAAGCAAGGCAAACACAGCCAGCCCCAGGGCATGCCCCCGCTCCAGACACTGAATGGGAAGCTCAGGCTGCCTGCAAAAACGGGCTTACACCCCTCACCTGGGTCAGGGGGGCATTCGGATGCCCAAGGTACAACCTGCTCCTTCCTTCTCTCCCGCTTCCTTGGCTGTACGTAGCCTGGAGGACATGTGGACTCTGCCGGCACCATGCCCAAGCCCACCCGGGGCAGGAGGAAGGGATCTTCCTCTGCCCACAAACCTGCTCAACCCACCAGGCGACCTCAGAGCAGCCCCGAAGCCCGCTGGCAGGATCAGGGGCTGCTCTTTTCCTTGTGAACGCTTCTGCTGCCGCATCCCCTGCCAGCCTCTGCCACAGCCTTGCCCTTGCCACCCCAGTCCCTCCTCCCAGCCTGTCCCCGCGCTCCTTCTCTGGACCTACACACCTTCTCTGGACAGGTAAGTTGTTACCTTCTGGAGATTTTGAAGAATCTCAGATCTGCCAAAAGAAGATCCAGAAAGAGATTCTGACTTCTGCTCAGGCATCTCTTACCTTTCAGTGGCCTTTCTTTATGTGGGAATTACTACTGAAAGCAAAGGAGATGCAGAGTTTGCTCAAAAACCACGGATTTGCAGAGGGGTCTTCCCTGTTTTCTTCTGCGAACCTCAGAGCCACTTACAAGGCTTGTTCACTTTGCCATCTAATACAGAGAGAAGCCTCAGTCAAGTTGCCTTAATGTTTATTTTATTTAAAGAATCAGAAACACAGTCATTGTAGTTCATTTGTACTCATATCCGCCAACATTTCCTAAATCACGTTAACATTCATGTGTAACAAAAACATTTTCTGAGCTGTGCAAAGTTCAAAGGAATTGTTCAATTACTTGAACCCATTTCTAGAAGAGCAAACCTGGCATTTTACAAACTGAGGCCACCAGAAGGAGTCTTGTCTTTTCCCCGCCCTGTCGTAGGAGATGCAGATGCCCCCTCCTCTCCCTTTCCCTGCCATGACCACAGTACGAGTCGAACCTCTCTCCGTCCAGGACTTCCCGAGTGGCACTGGGTCACGTTTTCGTATCACTGAGCTGTATTAAGTTCTGCACTTGTGCTCCTGGCATGGAAGTGATTTGTCCAAGAAGATTACTCGGTAACCCAAACTGCGATGATAAGCAATAGACAGGGGCCAGAAACAGCTGTAATCAAAATAGAAACACATCCCCCCCCAGTATTATTTTTTCGTGCAGGAGGTATGACAGGAAGGGTTGTCGTCCATTAAAAAAACCATCATCCTCCCAGCAAAATATATTTTAAAGCACTGATTTAATGACATGACCTCTGCCTGTATTCTGTCCTCTTGTCACACACCAACTTTGTCCTGTTAGAGTCAGGCATGAAAAGGTGGAAATCTGGAACCATTTGAGATCTGGCTAAACACAACAGGCAGCAAGCAAGCCCTCATCCTGTTTCGTTTTTCTGAGTGTAGTAAATACACCCATGGAACAGAATTTTAAGAGTGCTTTAACCGCTGTAACTTGTCAGAAGAAAATCTCCTCGTCTCTGACAGATCTAATCCAGAATTTTTATTGGAATCGATAACACGCGTTTTGGCGTTGGTGACTGGCTAACTGTGCAGTTCACTGTTTGAGGTGCAGCGATACCAATTCTGACCCGGACCAAATAAGTGGAACAGATATGGCTCTAGCATCAAGCAAGTCTTTCCAGAAGACGTTTCTTCAGTCTCTTATTGGTTATAAAAAGGCAATTTCCTCTCAACAGTAACTAAACTTTTAGTGGCTGACTCATTACAATCTGGAATATGAACAAACGCGGCAACGTTAAGTATAAAAAGAAACACCCTGAAAATGATGCCTCCCTGTCTAAAGGTGCTATACTTGGCCACGGACTGTGTTTCTGGAATCGCTTTGTTACATGTGACAGCAAGAAGAAACTTATTTTACAGAGAACAAAGCCACAGAGCTCAACTTAAAGTGGAACGCTCACTTACATGGGTTTTGATATGTACTAATATACACGGCTTGAACGAAAACAGAACTTACACCTTCGCGTATGAAATACTGGTAACGCAGTAATGATGTTCACCCACTGGGCCTCTTCCTTTTAATAAGATCATCTCCAGGTTACAGTGCCTCCGACACGCTTTCAAACGCCCAGCACACGCGGGCTTTGGCAAACAGCCAGCCGCTGGCCCAGGCCAGGGATGGATCCAGCTACGGAAAGCCTTTCATCACGTTTCATTCCTCAAGAGCCGATGGCTTTTTAAATACTCTCACAATCGCATTATGGAATTATTTTCTCATTCTGCTTCATACGAATAACTGGCTAAACTCGCTTTACATTTATTGCACCTTTAAGTCCCTGGTAGATGGAAGCTTATATTGCCTGATACGGTTTGTATTGTAGCTTGACCACGTTAAGAAATTGAACAGTCTCCAGAACTGTACATTTCTACAGTAAGAAATCACATTTCGATAACGCTAATTACAGCCGTCACAGATCAGCTCTCGTCTCCGTGATACGACGACAGAGGAAAACTCCACGGTCCCTGCGTGTGCTAGAACCTGCAGTGTTCTTCTTATTGCCATGAAAAAGTCAATTAAAATGACTCCTCTGGGAATTACTTCCAATTCTGGAGGAATTATCACCCTCCAGACAGAACGCTGTGCTTCAGCATGGGTCTTCAGCCACTCCAAATACGTAGGAGAGAGCGAGCGCGAGCGTGTTGCACAGGCACGCTCCCCCACGTAGATCCATCGGTGACCAAGCAGCTTTTTCTCTTTTCCTCTACGAGGCATGAACAAGCAGCCTGATCTCGATCTTCAGGTATGTTTCTAATTTCACATGTTGAATGCAAATCTTGTTGCAGCCTCTCTGTTTAACCAACCCAAATCTTTAACAATTAAAAAAAATAGCACCAGATGTATGAAAAAGTGGAAATGTCTGATCTAGTAGGAATATATATAAAGTAGAGCAATTCTTACAGTAAAAAGGTACGTCATACAAAAAAGCAATGGAAAGTGATACTGAAGGACAAAAACCCATGCTGCATATAATAAGGGCAGAAGACAGGCAAAAGGGATTCTGCTCAAATAACCACAGTTTAATGGTGGAGCCGTACTTCCTCCAGGACCGCCCCGGCGGCGGCGGCAGCGCCAGGACACCGGATGGTGTGGGACTCTCAGCACTAACACACTCACTGACAAACTCGCGCAGCATATCTTTGAGGTATATAGAAAGCACGACATTAACATTTTGGACTCCTCATTCTTTCTTGCACGACGATGCACCGATCTTTAGCTGGGGTTTTCTCCACCACCCTCCCCTCCCTCTTTTTCCCTCGGGAAAAACGAAATCCCAGTTTAAGAGCTTCCTAGCACACCTCCTTGAACTCTCAAATCCATCTTGCATAGGCCAGTAATAAGAACACTGCAGCTCTGACAAATAAGTTACAGCAATATAACAACTTTCCTCTTAATCTTTTTTTTTTTAAAGATATCTTCTCTATAATTTACACAAAGGGTTAACAGCCGGAGTTTAGGTTACGTACAGTCCAGATGGGCGTCCTTTCAGTCTGTGATTCCCGGTGGAAGGCACTACTTCAACATACCACTGTATGCACCGCACGCGGTCTCGGGAGCACAGCGGGGCACTGCGTCTCCAGAGCTGTAGACTGAAGGGCCTGGGGGGAGTCTTTGGAAATAAAAATGGCAGTGGTTATCAGTCCAGTTTCTCTTTGCTGTCTCTTCTTGTGCTATGCAGTTTCCCCTGAAAGCTCCTCCAGTTGAGAGAGCAGTGAGCTGACCTCAGAAGCTCTCGACAAAGCTCCCGGGGAAGAGGCCCGTCCTGCCGTTCCTCTGCAACGTCCCTTTGTACCAGCCGTCCTCCCGTTTCTTGTGCACAAACACAATGTCACCTTCCTTCAGTTCGATCTCAGCCTCACTCTGCGGTGGGTACGGGACCACGACGCGGTACCTTTGGAGACAAGAAACAAAGACCCGGTCAGCCAGCGGTCGAGCCTGCGCCTGTTGGGAGCAGCCAGGCACCAGAACCAGAAATCCTGGGGAAAAATACTTTTGGAAACATCAGTAAGTTACATTTTTGTGCACCAGTTATATCCGATGCAGCTATGTTTTCTACTAAAACTCAGTATGACAGGGAGAATTCTGGGCAGCTTGACTGGAGACTTGACCAGGACGTACCCTGGAGCCAGACCGTGAAAGCAGGAAGGTGTTGTCAAAGGGCTGGACTACTCGCGGTGGTCCCTGCTCCCGGCCGTGCGCCGGGCCTGCGCCAGGGACTCAGCTGCTCTCTCCCAGCGCTGCATCTGCCTCTGCTGTGGCACATCTCATTCAGCACTGCATCTGCTTCATCCAAAAATCATAGAATCATACAACCATAGAATGGTTTGGGCTGGAAAGGACCTTTAAAGGTCATCTAGTCCAACCCTCCTGCAGTGAGCAGGGACATCAACTTGATCAGGTTGCTCAGAGCCCCATCCAACTTGACATTGAATGTTTCGAGGGATGGGGCATCCACAACTTCTCTGGGCAACCTGTTCCACTGCCTCACCACCCTCGTAATAAAAAAATTTCTTCCTTATATCTAGTCTGAATCTACCAGGCCCTACTAAAAAGTCCCTCCCCATCTTTCTCATAAGCCCCTTTTAGGTACTGGAAGGCTGCTCTACCCTCCTCTCCCCCAGGCTGAACACCCCCACCCCCCCCAGCCTGTCCTCACAGCAGAGGTGCTCCAGCCCTCGGATCATCTCTGTGGCCTCCTCTGGACTCGCTCCAACAGGTCCATGTCCTTCTTGTGCTGAGGACCCCCGAGCTGAAGGCAGGACTGCAGGGGGGTCTCATCAGAGCGCGGTAGAGGGGCAGAATCCCCTCCCTCGACCTGCTGGTCACCCTGCTTTGGATGCAGCCCAGGATATGCGTGACTTTCTGGGCTGCCAGCACTCATTGTTGGGTCATTTCCAGCTTCTCACCCATCAGTACCCCCAAGTCCTTCTCGGCAGGGCTGCTCTCAACCCCTTCATCCCTCAGCCTGCATTGATACCGGAGGTTGCCACAACCCATGTGCAGGACCTTGTACTTGGCCTTGATGAACCTCATGAGGTTCACACAGACCCACCTCTCAGGCCTGTCCAGGTCCCCGGGACACCACTCATCACTGACCTCCATCTGGACATCGAGCCATTGACCACTGCCCTCTGGATGTGACCATCCAACCAATTCCCCATCCACCAAACAGTACACCCATGAAATCCATCCCTCTCCAATTTAGAGAGAAGGATGTTGTGAGGGACCGTATCAAAGACCTTACTGAAGTCCAGACAGATGACATTCATAGCTCTTCCCTCGTCCACTGATGATGAAAAACACTGGGTTTGCACTGTTCCCACCAACTGCCTGTGATATCGGCAGAGGTTAGCTAAAGCAGTCCACATTTTTCTTATTATTATGTTTCTTGAGAATGTACTTTGGGTTCTTCAAGCCTGGAAGCAAAGCTAAAATGGAGAGGTATGAAATGACTTTCAAAACACTCTCCAAACCAACAGGGAGCTCCTGTCCTGAACCATTCACAGGGCTCTCTGAGAACTTAGTTTTCAAGTGTCACTTCATTTCAATGAAGTAATGACGGGTCTGATCCTGATACAGCTATTCTGCACTCAGGCTTATCAGCAGGCGTCCTCCCGAGAGCACAGACTGCGCCCTTTTATATCAACGCATTCGTGCGCAGAGCAGGGAATATATTTCTGCTGCACTGGGTTTTTTTCTTCAGCATATGTACTTTTGCAGTCATCTGGCATTTGCTTAAGAGTCAATAACTGCCTTGCTAATTGCAAAGTAATGAATATAGTAAGACAGTTAAAAGATGCCAATTGATTACCTAAAGTCCATCTCCTGAGGATTAATATTTCCACAACCACTGCATGGCCACTGATGCCTCAGTCATGTTTGTTACAAGGTGAGTATTTATTTAAAGTAATATCCTGTCCTTGAGGACTAACATCAACATGCCCTGGAGGGTCTGGACCACTCCCTGAGGCCATTCCCAGTGAGGTGGTACCAAAGCAAGGGGCTCTCCAGTGGCACTCACTAATTTTCTTTGCAGACGTTGCTCAGGTACCCAGTGACTGCAGTTCTGAAACTAGGGACTCCACTTTGACATGACGGTGAAAATACCAGCTTTGGCTCTGTGTTTGGACATCTCCATGGCCAAACATCCCATTACTTGGAAAAGCATTAAACTCCATTTGGAGTGGGGGTTCTGCTCTAAAACCTGGCTGCGGCCTTTTTATTTTGACACAGCAACACAGTCATGTAGAAAATATATGTGTTCAAGTGCGATCAAAAATCTGCCAGTCATCTCTATCCCTTGGTCAATAAATCTAGTTGTCACTTCCTTCCTCCGTGGAAAAGCAAGTAATAGCAGTTGAAATGTGTGCTGCTGGCTGCAGGAAAACGGTCTATCATGCTATCATCTGTGGAACTGCTACACTTATATTATGAAGCTTTGCCAATTATAGCCATTATGCAAATGAATGCACACATTATTTCAAACGCTCTGCTGCAGTGTTGATTAATTAAATTATCAAGAGTGGAACAATTTTAGCTAAGATGATGCCAAGTTTCAGATCTCACAACTCTATGCGCAACCACAGTGCATTGGATCTCTGCACCAGGATCTCAAGAGCCTTTGAGAAAGAAGAAGGTTGGACCCCAACATTAGTTGCATGGTATGGAGGTACTCACGGACCCTTTTGGCAGATCGGGAAACAGAAACACAGAAAAAGGTGGTTTCTTGGGTAGGGTCACCCTAAAGACCCAGCCAGGACTGCCAACTCCTCTTGTCACACCTTAAACACAGAGCCAACCCTTTAAAGCCAGACTACATCCTAGGAGTGATGAACTGCTAGTCCCGAAACGGTTCACATGAGGAGGGAGGTGACAACACTCAACAGGAATATGCCCATCGTCAGAAAAGGGGTTCTACACAGCATCTTCTTAGAGATTTAGAAAAATAAAACTCAGTCACTGCATTACCAAATGAAGTACTTTTTCCCATTTAAGGAAGCCCAAATGCTATGGTTTAACTTTAATTACCTATGGTACCTCATAGGATAGCACCAAAGTGGTTTAGATAGAGTAACGAAATCTTGGATACGAAAGACCTTGTAAATCAGTTAAGGAATTCCCCGTGAGAGATGGAAAAAGATGTTATGCGTTTTCCCTTGAGAGGCTTTTGAAGCAGGGCCTGGAAGAGTCAGCCCGGTGAGGGCCGCAGCCGGCAGCAGCCCAGCACCACTGCCGGCATGGGGTTGCCGGCACCACGGATGGCTGCAGTGTCACCCCTCTGGACCTCCAGGTGGCATCTCAGCCTAGTTTATCCTCTGGAACTGAATTGCAAATACATATCTTAGTCATATTTTTTTGGCAGAAAAGATCTCTTCTCCCAGACATCCTCCCTCACTCCCAAAAAGGCAGTCCTGTACACTTCTATTTATAGCTCCCCTTTTCATTTCCCCTTTTGTCCCCTCTTTGAGAAGCTACTATAAAATTGTAGGTTTTCTTACACCAAACTGCTTTCTGGCATTTCAGACAGATGTCAGAGCCCTCTCAGTTTTGTCTGTGCCACATTACACCTCTAAATTACCAATTTTAAAAAATGCTAATTAGCTGGGCAACAATCATGATGACAAGTGTGGCAACCACCTCCGCCTATTATTAACAATGTTTGATATTTTCTTTGTAAATCATGCTCTCAGATAGTTGTAATTCTGCCAAATGTTAACCATTTTGGCCCAAACTCTCCACAGCAGTTGGCTGTGTCAGGCTGAGGGTCCCACATTCATCCCAAATGGTCTCATCACCTCCAGGAATAATGTGAGGGTTTTTGCAGCACCGGCAGGACCCAGGTGAGGGCTTCCACAAATTGCTCTCGGGTTCCCATACTTGGGAGCAAAGACCTGTCCTGTGGCACCATTGATCTGTCAAGGATGGTGATCCTTCAGAAAATCACTGCTTTTGGCCAGGTTAAAAGCATTCAAACCACCCCAAAATGGCATATGCTTAGTAGAGGCTTGTAGAGCACTGAAGGTAAAATCTCTGCTGATTCATTCTCCAAGATGTCCTAGCTCTGTGGGACCTCAGAGGTTGTATTTCTCTTCCTTTCCCAACAACGGGCTCCTCTCATGTTTTTCTCTCAGGGGATCTCAATCCAACATCTCAGACAAGAATCAATCCAACATCTGATGTTAGACTTCCCCACTGCTGGCTGCTGCAGCATCCTTGGGTTGGGCACTTCATCCCCGGAGGGCACTGTCTGTGATGGGCAGTGGCCTGGGAAGGGTCCTTGGTGCTCAGGAGAAAATAATACATGAGGAGAGGCTGCGAGTAGTATCAGCGAGGACAGTGTTTGTCTGGGCAGGGAATTCTCAGGGAGTTGGAGAGTGGGGTAAGGGGAGGGTGGGAGTAGAAGGAGAGAGAGGCTGGCGGGAGAAAAACTGAGAGCCAAGGGAGAAATGGGACCATGATGAAAATGGGAAGCCCTGACAGAAGGTGTGGGTATGGCTGCTGAGGGGGCAGCTGGGCTGAGCTGAGTCTGGGAGACCAAAGAGCCTTGGTGGGAGGGAGCCTGGGACTGGGACATGACATCCCGTGGAGCAGGAGACTGCATGGGTAGAGGCTGGCACTGGGGCTGAGGGTGGGACAGGGACCCTGGCAGCAATTAGCTCACTGAGCGCTGGGAATGGGTCCATCATCACTGTCCCTCTGCTGTCAGCAAAGACCTGGGAATCCCACTGTCTTCACAGCACTGTCCTCGCAGTCAAAAGAAACACCTCTTCCACCCAGCTCTTCCTTTGGTACTGCTGCTGACATCTGGAAGGTGCAGCTAAGACTCCTAACCTCAAACAGATGTTACACGACCGAAGTTCTGGTTTTGATTCCTTTAAAAAAGCAAAATGA